TGGGAATGATGCGCTTTTCGATTTCCTCGAAAAAACTGGCGAACGTACCGTAGTTGTAACAGAACATTTTCGTTCACACGTCGCACATTTGCTCCAGGCTTCATTACGTTTACATCCAGGGTCTAAACAGAATGGACATTCTCTGCTACAAATTCTCATAGCAAACAATAGCAGATAATAAAGAATATACAATACTATATGTAGTAAAAAATTGATTGAGGTACAATACTTCATAAACCTTTCTATGATGGAACAAACCTTTATAGCACTGCTTTGGCAGCACACAATTTCCATGCCCGTTACGTCTGTAACCATCCTTACAGATACAACCTGGCTTGCACATCGTGGCCTGCACGGTGCACTGAAAATTTCTGGTTTGCCCTGTCCTTCGAGTTCATTCGCGAATTTTTGGTTTGCTATGCCCTTCTAAGGAAACTATCACCTCTTGTACTCCTCTACAGGTTGTTTGGCAATTGGGAACGCACGAGGTGTATACCTCGTCATCACCACATCGTACATCTGAAAACAAGTAACTGTGTCAAAAGGCACAGTCCTGATCAATTCTGGCGGAGTCGGGCTCACCATTGTGCCTCCCACAGCGTTCTTACCTTTCACTAGATCACAGTAGGGAGGGCACAATGACGGGGGCCGTCCTGGCTCCACTCCTCTTTCTCCAATGCACTGAAGCACGTAGCGCGAGATCAAGGAAGGCACCGCAAGTCTGAGCGCTACACTGTCAGTGTGGACATTACCCTACAATACACGCCTCAAATGTTGATTTTTTCGTTCATGAGAAACCCAAGTCGGCCGGCGCTCAGGACGTGTCTGCCTGGCACAGGCGCTGGAGGTTGCGATGGCCAGGTCCCCTCCCCCCCCCTCCGCCACCAGACGAATGTAAAACGCCCATAAACGCAAGACTGCTGCATTACGATCAGTTCCTTAGCTCTCGACATAACACTGGCTCTCGCCCGCGCTTTTCTGGCCTCTCTATGACTAACCCTGCTTATTTATCACCCGAAATTTTTCCAGTGCTGAAAACCAAGAGGGACATATTTGGGGCATTCTTGACGGTTTTCGCGGCTCTATTCTTCGCTAACAGGCTAGCTAGCACCTGAAAGTTTACGATGGGACCCCACTGTCCGTGAGTTGCAATTGTGGAATGTCCCTTTCAGATTAGTAAGATCGTAAAATCTTCAGAAGAGACGACATACGTGAAACTGTGCCGAGGATCTGAGGTGACGTCGTTGTGTTCGGATGTGACCGTGCTGAATGAAACCGTATAATAAAGTTTTTCAATAACGTATAATTCAGTAGTGAACTTGGGATGACAGAGTTCGCAAATCTAAATAAAATGAACAGCAGTTTGAATGACTAACGTGTTGTGGAATTCAAAAAAGATTTTGTGACGCCGTTGTTTTGCTCAGTCAGTGAAAAAAATTTTCTAACTAGGGAAGGTCGTCAGGTCGAAGTGGCCATTTGTAATGAGATGTAGCTCACTAGACGTGGTTTTGGACGCTGATCTCGAATCTGCCTTCGAAAT